GAATAGAATAGAATAGAATAGAATAGAATAGAATAGAATAGAATAGAATAGAATAGAAATAGAGCAGAGCAGAGCAGAGCAGAGCAGAGCAGAACAGAATAGCAGTACAATGGAATGGAATGGAACGGAACGGAACGGAACAGACCAGACCAGACCAGACCAGACTATTGGAATGAAGAATAGAGTAGAATAGAATTAGAATTAGAGACTTGGTTGGATCTAGTCCACCACCACCACCACCACCACCCACTCAAGCAGGAGACCCTACACTATTCCAGACAAGCGGCTGTCCAGTCTCTCCTGAAAAAACCTCCAGTGATGGAGCCCCCACAACTTCTGAAGGCAAAGCTGTTCTCCTGATCAATTCTTCTCACTGTCAGGAAATTGGTCCTTAATTTCCGGTTACTTCTCTCCTTGATTAGTTTCCATCGGTTGTTTCTTGTCCTGCCTTCAGGTGCTTTGGAGAACAGCTTGACTCCCTCTTCTTTGGGGCAGCCCCCCCCCCCCCCCCACATTGGAATGCTGCTCTCCTGTCCCTCCCCGGCCCTTTTCTCTAGACTAGCCATTCCCAAATCCTGCGTCTGTTCTTCATAGGTTTTAGTCTCCAGATTGTTCGTCTTCTCTGCACTTTTTCCAAAGTCTTAAAAAAGTTTTTTTTTTTAAAAAAAACAACCCAAATCATAATATGCTGCTGATTTTTAACTCTAGATGTCTTCCTGTCCCCTGTCCAACTTGTTTATAGCTTCTGGTTGGCCTTTGATGTGCTCAGATAAATGTCTTCTCTAAGCCTCAGAACTGCAGGTTGTCGCCTCACCAGATTTAGCGCTTACGAGCCCCCAAATTTTGAAGATTAGCAATGGTGAACACACCTCGAGAGCTGTTTCTAGCTATGACTATCTGGGTGCTGGGCCAGTGGGACTTGTGCGCTGGCGTGAGCAACCCAGAAAGTCTGAGTAAGAAACCCAAGGCTGAATAATTGAAGCAGGATTTTTCTAGAACATCAGTTAACTCCCGAAGAAGAATAAAAGGACTCTGCTGATTGGAGTTTGCTTAATATCTTTCTGTTTTGGTCTCTGATCAAGCAAATGCCCTTGAAAAACCTCAGAATGGAATATGGAGACTCTTTCCTCTGATGCCAGGGGTGCCAACTGTGGGGTGGTCTTTCATGGGAAAGGCCTAGGTCTGCACCTCTTCCATCCTTCTTTGACATGTCATGTCACGTCACCTGCAGCCTCGGAGTATAAATAGCAGATTCCCCCCCTCCCCTGCAAGAAGCACCCTCTGGCAAAGACGTGGGTTGAGAAGAAGCCAGAGCTGAGTCTGGAATAATCTGCTTTGCATCCCAAAGAGCTGCAGCCTTTCTTTGATCTTTAAATATTATGAATAGCAGTTTCCGAAGTCATCGTTGGTAAGGTTGGCCGATCTGGATGGGAGGTAGACAGCCACCTCGTATGATGACGGGAGGAGGAGCAGATCAGGGGAACATTCTCTGATGGGACCTGCTGGCTAGAGAGGGTGTGAACTTGCTAGCTGGAGACCTTCAGCCTCCTCCTGAAATTGGAGTGGTTTTGAGCCACCATGCCTGGAGAAAAAGATGTTCTTCGTGCAGTCCAGGGGTCTTCAAACTTGACCTCTTTAAGACTTGTGGACTTCAACTCCCAGAATTCCTCCTCCGGTCATGTTAGCTCAGGAATTCTGGGAGTTGAAGTCCACAAGTCTTAAACTTGCCAAGTTTGAAGACCCTTGGGGTAGTCATTCCAGATTGTCCTTTCCTTGCTTCCTTGGAGGAGCTTTTCCCCAGAAAGTCATCTTCTAAGGACTAGAGCCACAAGTCTTATGTGCCGCTGTTCCCAACTACTTCGCACGAAGCTTTCTGGCAATTGTAGCCCAATGGATTTGCAGGAACCCAAGTTAAAGACATCTGGGACAGATAGTGGCTTCAGAGCTGCTTATCACAAATTTCCTTCCTTCCCAAAGTTCCTAGTGAGTTGTAGCCATGACCCTACTGCCCATATCTCAGTTTGGTTCTTTCTTCAAAAAGATAACTGATGTGCTTTTCAAGATTTATATGAAGGCGTGCATGAAGCACTGCAGACATTTGTGTGGTGTTGAATAACTGCTGTGTGGAGGATTGCGTGGGATTATTACTCTAAGAAACTTTTGTAAACAGAAGGACCTTTGATCTGTGGATGTTTCCAGAAATGCCCCCACCATACTTCAGCTTTGCTAGATCTCATCTTATGGGGTCCTTCGTGCTCTCTCAGCTATGTGGTTTACTGGCTGACGTTTCATTACCCAACCAAGTAATGCTATCAGAGCCCTGATGATGTTACCTAGTTGGGTAATGAAACATCTGCAAGAAAACCACCCAGTTCAGAGAACACCAAAGGACCCTTCATATCAATCTTGAGTGGCAAATATTCTCCTTTATAGATCTCGACCTCCAAGTTGGATTGGGGAAACTGGGAAATACTGTGAAGTACCATTTAACTTCACCCAGTGGTGGGATTCAAATTTTTTTACTACCGGTTCTGTGAGTGTGGCTTGGCAGGCATGGCGTGGCATGGCTTGGTGGGCATGGCAGGGGAAGGATACTGCAAAATCTCCATTCCCTCCCCACCCCACTAACCTGCTTTCCAGCTCCGTTCTCCTGTGTAGGGCAACAAAAGAAGACCCAGCCAATCAGCTGGGACTCAAGGGGAGGCGGAGCCTAGATGGGGTTGGTGGGGCCAGTCAGAGGTGGGATTTGCCGGTTCTCCAAACTACTCAAAATCTCCACTACCGCTTCTCCAGAACTGGTCAGAACCGGCTGAAGACCACCTCTGGGTTCACCCCCTCATTGCCAACTGGCTGGAGTTGCTGGGAGTCCAGACTATCTTGAGGGACACTGGTACCCCAGTGTCCGATTTTATCGTGATGATTCTGGTACCTTTCTCCTCCTTCGTGGGAACCTTTTCGCTGTGTCCTCTAACGGCCCTCTCCCTTCTTCTTCTTCTTCTTCTCTTCCAGCCACACCCACTCTTCTGGTTCTATGGCCACTGTGCGGGAATGGTCCTGCACCCGCTGTACTTTCCTGAACCCCGTGGGACAGCGCCAATGCTCCATCTGCGAGGCCCCCCGCCAGAAGCCCGACCTCAATCAAATCTTGCGCCTGAGCGTGGAAGAGCAGAAGTGGGCCTGCGCACGATGCACCTTCCGGAATTTTGTGGGCAAAGAGGCCTGCGAGGTGTGCGGCTTCACTCCAGAACCCGGGCCAGGAGGCTCCCCTCTGCCAATCCTCAACGGGGTCCTGCCGAAATCCACCGTCCTAGTGGAACCCAAAGCCGGTGGCAAGGAGGAGGTGCCCCAGATAGAGAGCCCCGTTGAGGACTTGGAGGGGAAGAGCCCCCAAGAGGCAGAGCTGGAGGAGGGCTGGGCCTGCCAACGTTGCACCCTCCACAACACTCCCGTCGCGAATTCCTGCTCGGCCTGCGGAGGCCCCCGCAAGCTCTCCCTGCCCAAGATCCCTCCAGAGGCCCTGGTGGTCCCGGAAATCATCACGCCCGCCGGTTTCCAGATCGCTTCCGCCACCGAGACCCCTGAGGGCCACCCGGCCGCCAATCAAGGCCCTGCCCTTGTGGAGGAAGAGAGCCAGAAGATGGCAGCCTTCAGCCTTTTCTCCCCAGGTCTCCAGAACAACCCTGTTCCTCGTAGCCGCCGAGAGGTGCCCCCGCAACTCCAGCCGCCGGCTGTGGAAGCTTCCCAACCGGCTTCTCCGCCAACCCCTGTGCAGAAGGCCATTCGCTTCCAGGAGATGATGGCAACCAAGCGGCTGAGCATGCTGGAGGAAGAAATGGACGTCAGCGTGACCCCCTGGCAATGCAGCACCTGCTCGCTGGTCAACACCTCGGGGAGTGAGGCCTGCGAGGCCTGCAGCACCCAGAAGGGCAGCGACACCATTGACGTGACGGGGGACTCCGTTCGTTTTACACCCTGCGGGCCCTCCAGCCCCGACTTCACCACCTGGTCCTGTTCCAAGTGCACCTTGAAGAACCCCACCGCTTCCCAGAAGTGCAAAGCCTGCGGCTCCTCCAAACTGCACGGCTTCCAGGAACACAGCTTGCAGCCGGACCCGGCTCCCAAGTGCCCCGAATGTGGCTCTGACAAAGGCAGGTGTGCGGCTTGTGGCACCCGAGTTCCTTCCGCCCGCAAAGTTGCCCGTCTCTTCCCCATGCAGACCCCCGTCACCCCTGACCGAGCCAGCCAGTGGGCGTGCCCCGCTTGCACCCTCCTCAACGAGCTGAAGGCCAAGCACTGCCTCGCCTGCCACACTCCTCAAGTCTACATGGCCCAGCGCAAGAGCATCAAGCCGTTACGGCGGCACGAGAGCATGCACGTGGAGAAGCGACGGCAGACAGATGAAGGGGAGGCCAAAGCCCTCTGGGAGAACATCGTCTCCTTCTGTCAAGAGGTGAGTGGCCACCTACACCTCTTGTTTGTAGCATAGATCGGTATTGCTCTTACACACCCAACTCTGGCTTGGTTACCTGTCCTGACCTTCCTGGGATCCAAGAAGACTGTCAGGATTCCGGCAGTCACCCCCATTTAAATCATGACTCTCGAGCCAAACTTCCAAAACTTCGAAAGGATTTATTGGGAGTTAACATGCCGGCACTGCCTGGGTGTAGCTGACTCTGAGACAAAGCATTAATTGTCACCCTTGACCCTGGTTTCCCCCCACCCCCTGGGTTTATCGTAATTCATATTCCCCAATGGGACACCTCCATAGCCCAGAGTCATCAATCATGCTCTCCAGTTAGAATTGTGCCCAGCAGAGAATTCAGTCGCCTCGTTACTATCTTTGAAAATATTAATGGAATGCACTTTTGGTTTGCAAGCTGCTGTACTGCAGCCCCCTCACTTTCTGTTGGCAACTGTAAAAAGACCACAGAGATATTTTATGAGTTGACATTGACCACAGAGCATTTCTCCTGAGTAGTTTCCTTTAAAGGGCTCCGACAGCTCTGTGGTTAAAGACTCTGAGCTTGTCAGCTTGTAAGCTGACAGCCTGGGCTCGAGACCCGAGTGCCACGCAACAGGGAGAGCTCCCGTTCCTTACTCTAGCTCCTGTCCACTGAGCAGTTTGAAAGCAGGCAAATGCAAGTAGATAAATAGGTACCACTTTCAGTGGGAAGGTAGCTGCGTTCGTGTGCCCTTTTGGCATAGAGCCATGCGGGCCACATTACCACGGAAATGGTCTTCAGGGAACGCTGGCTCCTTTGACCAAGGAGCAGAGGTGAGCATCACTTAACAACAACCCTGTTACTAACTGAAGAACTGCAGTGATTCACTGAACAACTGTGGCAAGGAAAGTCGTAAAACGGGGCAAAACCCAGAAAGAAACGTCTCTTTTAGTAACAAAAATTGGGGGCACACAATTGTGGTCGTAAGTCTAGGCTTGTTCCCAACATGGCCCCATCACATGGACACCCCTCCTGCAGGCCCCCCCCCAAAAAAGTATCAGTCCAAACACCTGGCTGAAAAAACGACTCCCACAATCTTTGGTTTGAGACCCAGGGTGCATTGGGGGCCTGTAAATAAAAGGACCCCAAGCTCCCTCGGATAGACGTTTCATATCTCTGTCCCCCTCTCTGCTAGACGCAGCTTTTTTCAGCGTTTGCCTGCCTGCCTGCCAGCCTCTGACTGTTTTGGGAGAAGCCAGATCCCAGACTTATTAATAACTAACCGTACAGACGCTTTAATGATCAAGGGCTGTTTTATTTCTCCAGTTGCCTCTGGCATATGAAGCCACATCAAGCAACGTCTCTGGGAGAGAGAGAGAGAGAGAGAAAATACCCTCTGTCCAGCTTCAGAAAGATCTGTGCTCGCAAAGAGCGGGGTGACCCTCACACGGGGTGTTTTCTTTGCTAGCTGAATGACGGAGTTGGCATTTTGGAGTTGATTCTTTGTGTTCCTTTGCCTTTGCGGTGCAATGCAGCACAGGGAGAGGGCCGTTAAAGCAGGCGTTCGTAGAGTTATAGAGCCATGCGGCTGGAAGGGACCTTTGAAGGCCTCCTAATAATCCACGGGTCTCCAACTTTGGCAGCTTGAAGACTTGTGGACTTGTGTTGGAAGAAATACCCATCGGGTTCACTTCTGGCCCAAGCCCTAATAGCAATAGCACTTTGACTTATATACCGCTTTATAGGGCTTTCCAGCCCTCTCTAAGCGGTTTACAGAGTCAGCCTATCTTCCGCCAACAATCTGGGTCCTCATTTGACCCACCTTCGAAGGAGGGAAAGCTGAGTCAAAACCTTCAGCCTGGTGAGAATTGAACTGCAGGCAGTGGGCAGAATTAGCCTGCAATACTGCATTTTAACCACTGCGCCACCAGGAAGGAGAATGAGAAAGGGAAGGAAGGAAGGAAGGAAGGAAGGAAGGAAGGAAGGAAGGAAGGAAGGAAGGAGAAAAGGAAGAGCACTAGCAATAGCACTTAGACTTCTGTACTGCTTCCCAGTGCTTTTACAGCCCTCTCTAAGCGGTTTACAGAATCAGCCTCTTTCCCCCAACAATCTGGGTCCTTGTTTTACCGACCTCGGAAGGACGGAAGGCTGAGTCAACCTTGAGCCTGGTGAGAATCGAACTGCTGGCAGTGAGCAGACTTAGTCTGCAATGCTGCATTCTAACCACTGCGCACCATGGAAGGAAGGAAGGAAAATAGCAATAGCCCTTAGACTTATATACCACTTTATAGTGCTTTACAGCCCTCTTTAAACAGTTTACAGAGTCAGCCTCTTGCCCCCAACAATTTGAGTCCTCATTTTATCCACCTTGGAAAGATGGAAGGCTGAGTCAACCTTGAGCCTGGTGGGATTTGAACTGCCAAACAGTTGGCAGCTGGCTGCAGAAGTAGCTTGCAGTGCTGCCCTCTAACCACTACACCACAGAAGCTCCTTTAATAATAATATAATTTGATATATAATATAATAATTTAATAATGGCACACAGGTGAGGGAGGGGGCGGAGTTCCTTCCTCTCTGAGTTCCTACTTCTCTTTTAGGGGAAATATTCTGCCTTTTAAATATATCCTAAAATATTTCATTTCTCTAGGAGTGGGGTGGTGGGTTTTAACTTCCAATAAGCTTAGCCAGTGTCCTGCACAGTGGATGAGAGGAGAGGGAACAGGTTGTTGTACGCCTTAAGTCTTTCATGTACTTGAAAAATGTCATCATATACCCTTCGCTGATCTTTTTCTCAAGACTAAACATGCTCAGATTGCTTTGGGTTTCTCGTTCAGAGATCTGATTTCCAAGCCCTGATCATCCAAGGTGACTTTCTCCGCATCTCTTCCAGTAAGAATAGCACCCAGAAACGGGGTCAAAACTATCATTAGTAATTTAAAAGATGGCTCAGGGTTTTTTTTAAAAAAAAAATAATAATTTAATTGAACAACTTTAATGTACAGCAACTCTCATTAAAAAAGAGCTCTCTCAGCTGTTTACAATGAACATATGACTGTGGTTTAAAAACAGTAGGTTAAAACAATAATCAGTGAATAATTAAAGCAAACGGTGAATGAAAACATATGTTTCGTGCAAACACGCAAAATAAAACAGTGAGATAAATATCAGAACAGGACCAAAAAGAAAGAAAAAATAGGAGTTTGGGTGGGCGGGGGTGGAAACAACAGTAGCACTGACACATTTATTGCGAGGCCTAAGCGAATAAAAAAAGTCAATTGTGTTTCAGTTATAAAGCTCATATTGTGATGTCCCCCAAAAGCACCCCAGAACATTTGATATAAAAGGGCAGTAAAATTAATATCCAGGAAAATAGCAGCCGAGAGAGCAAACAGGCCTCGGGAACAGATCAAAAAGCCTCTGCAAAACAATAATTGATGACCATACATATTTTTACAAATACAGCAGACTTTATTTCTCATTCCCCTTCTCATTCCGTACAGCAGTTCTTCCATATACAGGTCAGAGGTGGGATTCAGCCGGTTCTGACCGGTTCCATAGAACCAGTAGCGGAAATTTTGAGTCGTTCAGAGAACCGGCAAATAGCACTTCTGACTGGCCCCACCCCCATCTCTTCTCCGCCCCCTGAGTCCCAGCTGATTGGCTGGGTCTTTTTGGTTGCCCCGCACAGGACAACAGAGCTGGAAAGCAGGTTAGAGGGGTGGAGAGGGAAGGGGGATTTGTAGTAACTTTCCCCTGCCACGCCCACCAAGCCATGCCCACCAAGCCACTCCCATCAAGTTACACCACGCCCACCAAGCCATGCCCACACAACCGGTAGTAAAAAAAAAAAAAAAAGAATATCACCACTAATACAGGTAGTAGTTCTTGACTTACCACAGTTCATTTAGTGACTGAAGTTAAAACAATTTGGAGATTCCTTGTGCAGGGGTAGTCCTCGACTTACAACCCCAACTGAGCCCGACATTTCTGTTGCTAAGTGAGACATTCGTTACGTGAGTTTTGCCCCATTTTGCACCCTTTCTTCCCACGGTTCTTAAGTGAATCTGGCTTCTCCATTGACTTCGTCTGCCGGAAGGTCGCCAAAGTTGATCCCATGACCCTGGGACACTGCAACTGTCATAAGTACATGCCAGTTGCCAAGTGTCTGAATTCTGACCACGTGACCATTGGGATGCTGCAATGGTTATAAGTGTGAAAAATGTTGATAAATCGCTTTTTTCAGGGCTGCTGTAACTTTGGACGGTCACTAAATGAACTGTTGTAAGTCAAGAACAACCTGTATGTTGGGCTCTTGTTCTCCTAAGTTCCAGTCATTGGTTATCCCAACGGTGCTTTTTTTTTTTTTTTCAGGAGGTAACTGGACTTTCTTCTTTTTTCTTTTGAAGTTGTTTCACTTCTCATCCAAGAGGCTTCTTCAGCTCTGACTGGATGGTGGAGAATGGAAGGATTTATACTCCTTGCAGACAGCTGGTCATTTGGTATCCTTTTGAAGGGTCGTTGAGGCCACTTGGGGGTTTGTCTGTGTCCTCAGGGTCACCTGAGTGGCGCAAATGGGTGTGGAGCCGCCTTGTGTTCATCAAGAAAGGACACAGGGCAGAAAACACCAGAAAGCACAACTCCACAACACAGTCCTTTTCAGCAATTGCAGGAAGGCTCCACAATGTTTGTATTACTCAGGTTGTCCCTGAGGACGCAGACAAACCTGCAAGTGGCCTCAGCGACCCTCTAAAAGGATGCAAATGACCAGCTGTCTGCGAGGAATATAAATCCTTCCACCCCCCCATCATCCAGTCAGAGGTGAAGAAGCTTCTTGGATGAGAAGGGAAATGTCTTCAAAAGAACAAACACGGAAATCCAGTTGCCTCTTGAATAAAAAGCACTTTTGGGACAACCCTCACCTGGATGATTGAGAATCTCCATAGACAACCATTGTGCCAACTTATAAAATATTTCTATGGGGGTTTTTTTCGAGTTCTCAACAGAAAGGGAGCGGGGAGCAGTGCAGCAGCTTGCAAACCGAAAGTGCATTCCATAAATACTTTTCAAAGATAGTAACTAGGTGACTGAAGTTTCTGCCGAGCAAAATTCTAACTGGAAAACATGATTGATGACTCTGGGCTATGGATGTGTCCCATTGGAGAATATGAATTACGATACACCCAGGGGGTGGAGGGGAAAACCAGGGTCAAGGGTGACAATGAATGCTGTGTCTCAGAGTCGGCTACACCCAGGCAGTGCCAGCATGTTAACTCCCAATAAATCCTTTTGAAGTTTTGGAAGTTTGGCTCGAGACTCATGGTTTAAATGGGGGTGACTGGCGGAATCCTGACACATTGTTTATGTAGCTGAGAAAGGGAAGAACCAGGGGGAGGCCTCCCAAATGCCAGCCTGCCTCTCATCTTCTCATTTATGTAGAACTTCGTCTCCATCAGGAATTGCCTTGACTTCTTCAACCTTGTCCCTGCAGAACAAGGTCAACTTTGTGGATGACAGCTTTCCTCCCGGTCCCAAGTCGGTTGGCTTTCCCGAAGGAGACAGCGTCCAGCAGCGAGTCAAGCAGTGGCTGAGGCCTCACGAAATCAACTGCAACATCTTCAAAGACCGGTCGGTCAAGTGGTCAGTTTTCCGGACACCCCGACCTTCGGATATCCTGCAGGGACTCCTTGGAAACTGTTGGTAAGCAAACCAAGAGCGGATGGTGTTTGGCGTTACTTCCACCGACAGGCCAGGCTGGCATCCATAACAAACCAAGCGTGAAAGTATGGCTATGGGTACCTATAACAAAAGCAATAGCCCTTTGACTTATAAGTATACCGCTTCACAGTGCTTTCCAGCCCCCTCTAAGCGGTTTACAGAGTCAGCCTCTTGCCCCCCAACAATCTGGCTCCTCATTTTACCCACCTCGGAAGGACGGAAGGCTGAGTCAACCTTGAGCCTGGTGGGATTAAAACTGCCAAATTGCAAGCGACCGGCAGGCAGCAGAGGTAGCCTGCAGTACTGCCTTTTAACCACTGTGCACCATGGAATGGAAGGAGGGAGGGAGGGAAGGAAGGAAGGAAGGAAGGGAGGGAGGGAGGAAGGGAGGGAGGGAGGGAGAAAAGGAAAAGCAATGGCAATAGCCCTTAGACTTATAAACCACTTCACAGTGCTTTTTATAGCCCTCTTGAAGCCATTTTATAGAGTCAGCCTTTTGCCCCCAACAATCTGGGTCCTCATTTGACCCACTTCAGAAGGATGGAAGGCTGAGTCAACTTTGAGCCTGGTGAGATTTGAACTGCCAAAT